CTCTGCGATGCAATACAGAAGTGATACTAAGAACACTGTCACCATCTAGTGGCCGTACAGATATACTGCATTTTGGATATCATAACACGACTGTGGCTGCGAGGGAGTGCGGTTGTCTTTCAACCAGAAGGTTGTGGGTTCGATCCCAGCCCATGCAGTCAACATGTCGATGTATCCTTGGGCAAGATACTTAACCCTAAGTTGCTCCCGATGGCCATGGTGTGTGAATGTGTGTGAATGTTAGGTCCTAGAGTAAGGTACACTACTCTGTTTGAATGGGTGAACGACATGTAGTATGTAAAGTGCTTTGAGGGGTCTTAAAGACTGGATAAAGTGCTATATAAGTACAGTCCATTTACCATTAATGTAATGCATAGAGATTTTAAGAAAGAAAACAGCCTACACCCCAGCTCTCCATGGGGTTTCATTTAGTTTCTTACAAAAGTGTTAGCAGCTCGTTCCTTAAAACAGAAGCCTCACATTGATTATAATAAGGGACAATTATTTTTAAAAGCTTGTTGTGCAAATGCTTTTTTTTATCAACTAAGATTTCTTGTTTTCAACTTTTATTGACTGAATTTCTTCATATATATATATTTAGGACGTACAATACAAGTTTCAGGTGTGGGCCATATTCCATTACGATTATACTTTATGAATTTGTGAGGGTATAATTCCCTGTATTACAGTCTGAATGATTATCCTTGGAGCTAATTGCTAACAGAACAATGTGTTTCCCCCCCTGCAGAAGACGCTGTGGCCGTCAGTAATCTGAGTTCTGGTGTGCAGAGGAACATCGTTTTGTTCCAGGGGTTTTGTGCCATGAAGTATGCCGTCTACGCTCTGTGTGTGAACGCTCATAAACACTCTCACTGTGCCGAGTGTGAGTCCGTGCAGCAGCTGACGTCTGACACAGAAACAGAAGACAAGCAAACCCCTGCTTCCTCAGACGGTACGATCTGTCTTCATTTCCTGTGGGGAAGTTTCAGTTTGCTGTCTGCACGTTTAGCTGATCAGAATGCTGCTTGCACAAAAAATCAGACACTTATCTTTTGAGTGCTTTTAAATGAACACTTTTTGTAGTTGTGTTGAATCAAGATCTTAAAAACACTTATAGTAGAACAAAATATGTGTATCTTTTATTAAAAAATAATCTCATTGCAATCAAAAGACAAACTAATGTTTTTATTTTTACATATTTTAAATATTATTTGAATTATTTTTATTTTTATTAATGTGAAAAAAATACATTAAAGGGGACCTATCATGCAAAATGCACTTTTTGATGTATTTTATACATAAAGATGTGTCCCCGGTGTGTCAGAGCGTCAGAAAATAAAACCCTCTCTCTTTTCCTCCGTACCCAAATCTCTAAAAAACGGGGAACAACGGAGCTGATCCAGATTTACGTCCGATATGACATAATATCTGAAATGTGGACCCACGGCCCTATCAGAAACGCTGCTATCAGAAACAATGCCCGACTGTTTTGGACGTAATATGGTCGGTGTTTACATTAGCATCGCTAACACTCAGAGCTAACCTTCACTGGAGAGCATGTGTGTGAAGAAGCAGGAAGTAAAAAGGAACTCACCTTGTGGTATAACCGGCAAGAGAGAAAGCCTTTGAGCTCCATACTGTTTCAGAGATAATCCTTGATAATCCATGATATGGAGTTTCATCACGGCAGTATTTAGTTTAGACAGTAGCTGCCGGGTCCCGCATGAGCTCAGCCCCCCCCTTTTTTTTTTTTTTTTAAAGCTTTATACCCAAATCAGCCCTTTTTAGAAACAGGAAGTGAAATAGAGGGATATGAGGCATGGCTAGAATGGGTGATCTGTTTGGTATTTTGAGCAAAACACTTCATAGACATGTTTTTTATATTTTTTTATATATCTGAGACCTATGCTATTGCCTAGAAATAGCATGATAGGTCCACTTTAAAGGATATTAGAAATACTAAAATAAATAAAGATATATAAATTTAGAAGATAATAATGCTTCTGATAAAAGAAGGCTATTAAATGCTTTTTAAAAACTCTGGTTTTACCAAAAGTTAACAGATTATCTCGAGAGCAAATTACAAATCCTTGATCTGGATACTTCAAAATTGTTTGATTAAATGTGTTCTTTGGGCTTAGTAAAGTATGTCTTAGTCTTAATTCTGATCCTCTTTTCATTCTGATTCTCGTGTTTCCCAGGTCTTCCTCTTCTGTTCCAGCACTTCCTGTCTGAATGTCAGCTCCACCTGCAGGCCGTTCCCTCCATCCTCCGCCTGGAGCTCCTGGAGAACATCTTCTCTCTTCTCTTCCTCTCCACCGCCGACTTCTCCCCACACATCCACAAAGACTCAAACTCCAGCCCTCTCAAGGGGAATGCATCTCAGTCTGAATGCTTACCAGAAACTAGAAACACAGATGAAGAACTGGGAGCTAAAGAGAGGACGGAGAACGATAAAGAGAAGCAGAAGCTGCCTAAATGTAATCACCTGGAGCTGGGACACTTCATCCAGGGCTGCAGGGGGTTCCTGGCTGACGTGACGGCCATGACGGGCTTTTTGAAGCTGCTGAAGGAAGGGTTGGAGGGCATGAGTGTGGAGGAGGGGAAGGAGGCCACGGAGGGTCTCGGATGCTCCATAACGGCGGAGACTTTTGCGGCTCGTCTGCAGAGGTTATCCAAACGCACCGCCGAGGCTCAGTGGAGGCTGCAGATCATCAGCAGCAACCAGAGCAGCGGGAGCGGTGAGACGGATCAGACATTTCTCTAGCTTTCCTGTTTACTTTCTGTAACAGTTTTTTTTGGAGTAGGTGTAGGTTAGCTCAGAGGGCCCATGGTTGTTTGATGGTGCACTATATGCCGACACATTGAAGGAATAACAAGCTAAACAATATTAAAAATGAAGTCAAACTGCAAGAAAATAACGTTTCTAGACCAGAAAATCACATGTGCTGTGGAAAATGTATTTTAAAAAGTTCCTACACACTAGTGTTCATACTTGAGTTTGAATATTTATTAAACATCTTGCCAGCGCTCAGACGGACCAGCTTTTAATCTTTTGATTTACCTTTTGATTTGAATTCATTTGGGTCAAACCATGCAACTCAAATACACGCATTGTGTTTTAATCACATGTAATGGTGACAAGAAAACCCACATTGATACTGAACATAAAAGAGTAGGCTAACAGATAAGCTATTATTTGTTGTCCTTATGCAACACAGAGTAAAAAGTACTGTAATTGCATTCCTTGGATTTTCAACAGGAGGAATGCAAACCTACAAAAACACAAATAAAATGTATTTAGTTTATATTCCATAGTCCCAAACAGAAATTGGATAAACACAATATTCTTCATACCTACTCCTTTGACTGTTAAACTCTAGGGTTTCCCTTTTTGACTTCATTCAACAGATGCAATGATGAAATATACTTAGTTACAGGGAGTAGTAGACATTTGCAATATGTTTCGTAACAGAGGCATCATTGACAGAGTGAGGGACAATCCTGCAGGTGTGATAACGGTCAAACAAACAATGAATTACAATATTTTGGTAATTAGACCAAGCAACCTTTTTCTCTTGGTGATAGAACAGGTTATCAGTAGTTTGTTAATTCTATGAAATGAGGACGTGTCTGGTGAATAAAGGAAACCCAATCCGACCATAGCTCAGTAAATCTATTCATCTGTAGGCGAAGAGAAAATATAAAAAAGTAATTGTTTCCATTACACACAGCGAAACCCAGCCCGAAACACACACACACACCCGCAGCCTGGCTGGGAGTTTGTGTGTGTGCTCAGGCTAAGTTCCGCGGTGTCTCGCT